AAAATTTTGGGACAGACTGAAATGCGCCAAGTGTTAACTCTCTCAGAAAACTCGGTTTTGCAAAACGTATCTGCAAACAAGTTAAAACCAATTTTTTTAACAAGATTGTGTTGAAATCTGTAAGAAAACACGAAAATTTTGTTGGTACCCGATGTTTCCTGCAAAATTTGGCAAGATAGTGAAATGGGTCAAGTGCTCACCTCGTGCTGGAAACACGGTTTTGCAAAAAGTATCTGGAAACCTGCCAAAACTGGTTTTTTTGAATAGATTACCCTGAGATCTGTAAGACAACACTACATGTTGGTTGAGACCCGATGTTTTCTGCAAAATTTGGACACAGAGTGAAATGCGCCAAGTCTTAACTCTCGCTGAAAACTCGGTTTTGGAAGATGTATCTGCAAACAAGTTAAAACCAATTTTTTGGACAAGATTGTGTTGAAATCTGTAAGAAAACACTAAAAATTTGGTTGATATCCGATGTTTCCTGCAAAATTTGCCAAGATAGTGAAATGCGTCAAGTCCTTCTCAACTCGTGCTGGAAAGACGGGTTTGCAAAAAGGAACTGGAAACCTGCCAAAACTACTTTTTTTAAATAGATTACGCTGAAATCTGTAACAAAACACTAAATGTTGGTTGAGACCCGATGTTTTCTGCAAAATTTGGACAGAGTGAAAGTCGCCAAATCTTAACTCTCGCTGAAAACTCGGTTTTGCAAAATGTATCTCCAAACAAGTTAAAACCAATTTTTTTGACAAGATTGTGTTGAAATCTGTAAGAAAACACTGAAATTTGGTTGATTCTCGATGTTTCGTGTAAAATTTGGCAAGATAGTGAAATGCGTCAAGTCCTTCTCAACTCGTGCTGGAAAGACGGTTTTGGAAAAAGTATTTGGAAACTTGCCAAAACCAATTTTTTCCAATACATTCCGCTGAGATCTGTAACAAAACACTAAATGTTGGTTGAGACCCGATGTGTTCTGCAAAATTTGGACACAGAGTGAAATGCGCCAAGTCTTAGCTCTCGCTGAAAACTCGGGTTTCCAAAATATATCTGGAAACAGGTTAAAACATATTTCTTTGACAAGATTGTGTTGAAATCTGCTACAAAACACTTAAGTTTGGTTGATACCCGCTGTTTCCTGCAAAATTTGGGAAGATATTGAATTGAGTCAAGTCCTTCCCAGCTCGTGCTGGAGACGGTTTTGCAAAAACTATCTGGAAAGATCCCGGGAGTCTTCTATATTAACTTTTCATTGAACATTCCAAGCTTTGTTTCGTACATTTCATCTGTCTCAAAGAGAGAGGGAAGGGGGGGTGGGTTGACGTTGATGCCGGATATATGATTAAAAATAAGCCCTTTTGACGGTTGACGGTTAACCTTTTTGGAATGTCATTTATGAAAAATTTTCCTTAGGACGCGTTTGTAAACAACTGTTAATTTATAACACCTTTTATTAACAAATAACGAACGTCTTACAACACCAGAAGTGT